AAAAAAAAGAAGAAAAAACCCATTTTCCTAGTGTCATTGCTATTAGTATTTGGAAGTGTCAACTATTGCAAACCTTAGTTGCAAATAAATATTTTTAAAACTACTTTGACGTTGTAGTTATTTATAATACTGAACCCTTCTCCTAAGCTGGTGTAATAGTTACTTACTTTGTTCACAAGACAGCTTTTGAAGTCTTCCAACATATCTGTCACAGAAACTCGATCATGTGGGCGTTTGGGGCCACTGATGGATGACACAACAGTAGAGAGATCGAGCTCAACAATCTAATACAAGAAAAAGAAAATCACATAGTTTCATCACAGACAATTGTTTTAAAATGTTTTTCAAAAATAGAAAAAAATATGGAAATCAAAGAGGCACAGTTTCTCACCTCGGAAAAGATAGGATCTTGGCTAGCATTTTTGAAGTCACGGAACAAACTCACAGTTTTCAAGTACATTTCCATAGCCTTAATTTTCTCTGCTGGTCGGTCTAAAACACAGTAGAAATTGGATAATTTTAATTCAAGGAACAGATCACAAGTTAACATAGTTAAAAAGAACTATTAACAAGTTCATACTTGTCTGACGAAGATAATCCAGAGCCTTATTATCAACAGGGAAAAATCCAACGGTGGCTCCATACTCAGGACACATGTTACTGATAGTAGCTCTATCAGCAATTGAAAGTTCAGCCACACCAGGACCAAAGAATTCAACAAATTTTCCAACAACACCCAACTGTCTTAGATGCTGAAAAACATAGAACATCGATATATACTACAAAATTTCAGTCATGTCTAATTTTAAGATAAAGGAAATACAGAATCACAAGGTTTAGGGAAACCTATTAAAAGTGGTACTACCTTTGTGATGGTCAGCACCAAGTCAGTTGACGTAACATATTGATTCAGTTTTCCAGTAATTTTGTAACCAACAACTTTAGGCAGCAGCATAGTAATAGCCTGCCCCAACATAACTGCTTCTGCTTCAATGCCTATAAAAGAAGTTGAAGATGATTTTATATAAATTACTATTCCAAAAATTTACTCAAAATACTTCCATGGCACCTCTTTTACTTGCCTCCGACACCCCAACCAACAACTCCCAAACCATTGATCATAGTGGTGTGGGAGTCAGTACCAACCACAGAGTCAGGATACAAAATGCCTTGATCACTAAAGACTACTCTTGCTAAATATTCAAGGTTAACTTGATGAACAATACCAGAGCCAGGTGGAACTATCAGCATATTCTGGAAGGCTTTGGCACCCCACTAAAAATATAAAAAAATTAAAAGTTCATTAAGTCAAAAATATCCCTAAGAGACTAAACAAAGTGAATGGTTGTCTAAAATTACTCACTTTCAGGAACATAAAACGTTCTTGATTCCTTTCAAACTCAAGCTCTTGGTTTTTTTCTGCTGCATCTTTCCTGTTGAATGAAATCCGATAAATAATGATAGTTTCAACACTACTGGTAATACCTTCTTGACAAGAAAATTTTTAAAAACATTTACGAACGTGCGAGTGAAGTCTGCTTGAACAGAGTGGTCAATAACCAGATCTGAAGGACAAATAGGATTGATTTTATTTGGATCACCACCCAGCTGCTTGACAGCATCACGCATGGCTGCAAAGTCCACAACAGCAGGTACTCCAGTGAAATCCTGTTCAGAATTTTTATGAAATATTATTAATGAGAAAAATTTAATTAATGAGAAATTATTTCAATTGTTAAAAAAGGAAGAAAGTTCAGACCTGAAGAATGACTCTAGCAGGTTTAAAGGCAACTTCTGCATCTTCATGTTGAAGTTTGCTCCAGGCAAAGATTTTCTTGACATCATCTTCTTTCACTTGAAAATTATCACAGTTTCGGACAGCAGATTCAAGCAAAACTCTAATGGAAAATGGTAGTTTGTCTGTATAAAAGTAAAGATATAAAATAAGTGTATAGGAAAAAGTCAAATGTGCGTGTATGTAAAATATCTACTGGTCATAGAAAGATCAAAAAGAATTGCTTACCAAAGTCAGCACCAATAGCTGGCAGATCATAGAACTTGTATGTTTTGCCACCAACCTCAATTTCTTTCAGAAATTTGTTATAGGGGTTGACTCCTGCAAAATTAAAATGACCTTGGTCAAGTGGCACAATGCAGCAGCTTATCAAATGAACCCCACCTACACAGTTTCAACTGATAAGTTTATCATCTGTTTGGTAAATTTTGCAGCAGGAAGAAGAGTAAACAATTTGAAAATAATGGACAAATTTGTCTGACAGAGCATCTCGTAATTCAGATTTTTGAAAGAGGATGACATGCAAAATTCTTCAAGCCACAGATTGTGTGCAAAAATAAAGACCAAATGTATACTGTGATCTTTGATGTGATATTTAGTTCATAAGCATCACAGGTTTCATAATTTCAGTTTTAACACAACAAAGACAAAGTGGCGTACAGCTAGTTTTTGATGTTTTCCCCTTTTTTTCTTTACAGGAAGCCGATATGTAAATAATGCATGGACATTGTCAAACATCACCTTAACCACAAGGTCTCTCATTAGCTAACTACTCAAGTTGGTGTAAAAAGGGGGCGAAAAAAGAGAGATAAAACTGAACAATGTTAAGGTGGCTGCGATCTTAAGTAATCCTAGAGCAAATTTGTTCAAGTAATGCAATAAATAATGATGAGACAAAATTCCTTTCATAAGCTAGAAAATTTACTTTAGAATATTGGATTGTTAGAATCCGTGGTGAAAGTAGTTTAGATGGCAAACAACAATTAAGAATAAAAATAAGGAGGAGAAAAAAGAAATCAGAAAAATGAATATGCATTATGACACAAGTCACATTAAGCGGACTTTTCTTTATTTAATGTAAGTGTGCGTCCAATGCCCGGCCTTGCAATGACCTTAAAGGGTCTACACGGATTCAAGATAACGATGATAAGAGGGGTATTAACAGTTAGTAACAGAAAACTTTAACCTGGACTCGAAGTAAAAGTGGCTGGGGGCGTAGTGATGTAACCTGAAGGATTACAAATCTCAACAGCTACAAACCTGCCATGATGTTAGATATCTATTCCCTCTTGGCACGAGAGTTCTCCAAGCGAAAAATTTTACAATGACAGCGAAATAGGGAAGACGATGACAACGACTGTGAAATTCTGAGGAACTTTCACAGAGGGGTGTGGGGACCGGGAACGCCTCGTCGCGGCCCCAGACCCACACTCGAAACCTCTACGGTCTGGACCCAACTTCCCCCACCACCGAAATTGGGTATAGTCCGCCACATGTATGAGAAATAAAACAAACAAATTCTTCACAGCAGACAGAGGAAATAATTATGGTACAGATTTGACGATAGTATGTTAATACGCATCGGAAAAGTATTAATTACGGTTATCGCAATATTGGATCATCTTGTTCTCAAATGAGGCTCTTCACAAACCATGTTTAGGGTGAGACCGGTGGAACACTTGCCCTGACCATGGGGCACATAACCTATTCCAGCGTCCTTTATACCACTCATTATTAATGAACGCAAATGCGGAATCGACTAAAAATTTGTTTCTAATAAATATAAAAAGACTGCAATTGGGAGAATACTTTAAGGTAAATTTCCTCTTTAAATTTTAGAAGCTATGTGGGTTATTCCTGAGCACATCAGCAGAACCGCCAAGTGCACCAAAGCCACAGTCATTCGTAAAACTATATTCGTTAATTGCGTGAAAAATACGGCATAACGTTAAAAATGTCTCGAACTAATCACCATGAGAA